GTCAACGCTCTCTGGTTTCATTTAAAAGAGTCGATCGTCAGATATTGTCCAAGATTAACCTTCTGGGTGAATGTAGCTCACTCACACCGTGGACATATACACGTCATCATTTACCCAAAATTCTTTGTGTGCAAATAAAATGGCTCCGTCCGTGTTAAAATAGGTTTTAAAAAAATTACAAAACTAAACAGCCTACAGTATTTTTACAGTCTTTATTTTACAGTTAAAATATATAAATGTTTATCAAATAAAGTCTAATGGTACAACTCATCGGGGATCCCTTTAACAAGCTTTAAGCTGCGGTGAGCTCACCCGCAGCTCAGTCAGTGTTATCTCCAGCAGAGCGGTGACGACGTCCACAGAGCTGCCGACGCAGCCTGCAGCCGAGGCCTTGGCCTGGAGCTCCTTCAGCCCGGCCTCCGGCAGCGTGAAGGACAGAGGTTTCTGAGCCTTCTCCAGCTTACGCTTCTTACTGGGAGGAGACTGAAACAAAACAGAGACAGTTACCGGTAATCAATCTGCACGGGATATTAYTTAGGAGAAACGATGCATAGGAACTTTTACTTTGAGTAAAGTTTAAACAAACAATATAAACAGGGTGACAAATAAACTAAAAATGGTTGTATTTGAAAATGTTCAGTTTTGAAGCTTCACTGCTCATTAAACTGAAATATTTCTACATTTCYTTCTTCTTTTTGATATCTATACCAATATTCACAATATATAAACAAATAACCTGTTCTATCACTTGAACTGGCTGCACCTGTCTATGGGCTCCTGATCATTGACACTTTATTTTTCTGCATCTTATCCAGTTTAAGTGCTAAAATACARTAAAAATCCACCCCGTGTCATGTGTTAATGTGTCCTTAAAACAATAACTTTGTCAGCAAAATTTGTGGCAATGCCCAGAGCTGCCCGCAGAGGGCAGCGTGCACTCAGTTTAAGATGAGTCACACCTTTTTGGCCAATTTGGACATTTTGAAAACAAAAMTGTTCAAAGAGAGAATCCAACACTGATGCATTTAATTCAGCAGTTTATTCAGTGTTTTATCAGAAACTAAAAACCTACATATAATTAAGAATAGTTACTATTTTATTTAATTACTCTAGCTCCTCAACTACAAAATATTTATTTTATTGAACAAAAATAAACACAATATTTACTTTTTTGTGTAATAACAAATGATTCCCAATAATTACATGTATGCAGTGGCAATTAAAAAGATGGGTTTATGTTGCCAGCCAGGAGAGAGCGCTCCAACAACACAAGTGCCACCTGAACCTGCAGCCAATCAGACGGCTTCTTTTGTCTCAGCCCCTCTGTAATGTTGTAATGATGGTGGAGGTCATTATCCAGCTGTATCTGAGCGAGGATGCTCTGCAGCACCTGTGA